TATCAGTTATATATGTGCATCGTAACTTACGGTTTATGATAAGAGATCATGAAGATGTTTAAATTTGAGATGAAACTCTAAGATACATATACTTTCATAGCACATGGATGCCTCTCCACTAGATATTGGGGGAGTTTTGGGTGAGATGTGATATGACTTTTAATCCGTCATTAATTAAGAATACGGATTTTTAATAGACGGAGCATAAGGGAAACATCACCATATATTTATATATTGAGGTAAACCCTTAAACAAATACATGTTGAGGCTTGATATGCCTTAAAGTCTAGGAATGATATAACTTGGATAATATTTGGATTTGGTTTAACCCATGTCTACTTTGAGGTGATACTTGAACCATTATGTTCTTCTATGAGTCCTCCCTCATTTCATCAAATTTCACATTCAAAATATTTGTCATTAATAAGAAGTTGCACCCACAATCTACTGGTATCATACTGCTTCTGCTGATACAATTTCTAGTAAAAATATGTTAACTTTGATGGACATGATCTCTCTCATCTGTGATCCATTTAAAGTGATACTTGGACCGTTGTGTTCATCTCTGAGTCCTCCTTCATCTCTCTAAATTTCATGTTAAATGCATCTACCATATGAAAGTGGGTAAAGAAATATGAAGACATGTCGAAACTATGTTGCATAAGCTTAACTTATGCTTGATAAGAGATAACAAAATTGTTGATTTTGCTCACGTGATGACTCCGTCGAATCTGGGGTCTATGAATTCAAATTAAATATGAGCATTGACTGAGATGTGTGATTATCATCAGTAGACATTGTTATACATCAAAAATGACATACTTACATCTCCCACACGAATAAGGAGAGAGTCCATAATAACTTTGTCCTGCTAATACTCAAGACACTGACAGACCAAAACTGTACCACGAAATAAGCCTCAAATCAGACAATCTGGGAGGAGTGCTATCGTGCTAAGGGAAGACCTTACAACTATAGCCCTATGTTAATGGCTTCAGAAGAGTATTAGACCACCATCATTGCATTCGGAATGTCCAAAAATCCCTAATGACCAAATTAGGGCTCAATCGGACCACCCAAAAGGGGTCTACACCTATATTGCATCAAAACGGGTAGATTTTACACTATCGCGGTGCGGCTTCACTAAACCAGTCCCCAAGCATGGAGACTGCAACATCACATCTCGAGATGGACTTCAATGACCCATAACACCTTTTTCTAGAAATAGAAAAAGCTCAAATTTGGACTTGTTCTAGATCGCGAGAGCCCTGTTATTCTGACTTAGGGCATGCATCGTGGCGTGACCCAGAGTCATAATTTTTCTAGAAAAAAGGTGCCAACAAAATCAAAAAAATCAGGGTTTTAAGAAGAAGACATCGTGAACCTGGTGTAGCACAGCTCGAGATCTGCGCGTCAGATCATTGCGAAAACTGGTTCAATGCAACCACCTCGTGAAGAGCTGCAAACTAGTATAGCTGTTGTACCTGATCCAAGGTCCGATAAGTACAAATCCCAAGATTACAGGAAAAGCAAGTCATCTCGGTCGCTAGAATCCCTTTTTCCGATGACCTCCCAAATTAGGAAATATCGCAAATGAAGACCAAAATAGACCAAACTTGATGCAAAACGACTGTGACGGTCTCCTATATTATCTACAAACAAGATAAAGACTCAGATCATCACAGGTTGAATGGAATTAGCAATCAAAGTTAACAAATCTAACTGGACTTCCACCCCATAGGAAAAGGCTTCCTCAGCATGATTAAAGGGCGTCAAAATGCTAAGAATAGATCAAACACTGAGGATACGACAACAAATCAACTGGACCATCGCTACAAGTCTTCAGAAAAGCTTTTAAGACCTAGCAATGGTAGAAAGACCCTCAGGCAAGGATGGTTTTGTCATTAGTATAAAAGGTTTTAGGGGTGTTTTGGTCATTATACCTAATTTCAAGAATTTATTTAGATTTTTTTAATTGTAATTAAGCTTAGTTTTCTAGCATTCACCCCTGTTCGGTGTGTTCTCTATATAAACAAGCTTAAGTCATTTGTAAAAGGGCAGATTATTCATCACTAAAACAGAGGCATAATGCTTGTTTTCACTCATCTTTTGCTTCTGAACCCTTAATCCTGTCGAGAGGAGAGAGAAAACTTTCAGAGAGAGAAAATACCCCTAAGTGCGTGTCCCCGTTCCTTCCTAGAGAGAGAGAAAATATCTCTGAGTGCGTAGACCCATTCACTTTTTCTCCCAAGCCGGGTTACATCCCGAGCCCTCTCTCTCTTTTCCCCCACACATCGTTTGCTCCGCGCAGCAACCCGTGTTCGCAACAGATGCTCGGTCGCTAGTGAACCCACGAGTCTTAACCCTTGGGTTCTCTCGTACTCTCTCTGCAAGCCAGTCAGCCTCTCTATGGGAATCATCACAGGGAGGGATAATAGAGCCCCATCGGAGCTGCAACCAAGAGAGAGAGAGAGAGAAGAGATCCTTTGAAAGCCTGAAGAGAGTCCTCGTCCAAACCGTGCTGGCAGACAGCAGGAGGGCTTTGTAATTGTTCTAAGATGACGAATTGCTTGGGTGTGTCCTGCGAACCCCAAACAGCAAGGTATGCATCCAAGCGTACCCCCGACATAAAAATCTCTGTCATTGTTAGTTCCTATTCACGCTCAGGAGAGCCCGCGCACGCGCACGCGCACCTACAGATGCCCAACATGCACGGATCCCCGCAGTTGTTTGAGAGAGGGTTTTCTCCCCTGCGCAGGCACACCCCGTCCGCGGGAGGACTGAAACGAAAACCAGGCCCCAACCAGACACCTGTATGAGAATTTTAAATACATAATTATCACTTTGCAGATTTGATTAAGAAGATGAAGACGTACGATCAAAGGATATACGAGGATCATATTTTTTGTGCTTATCACTTTGTAATTATGAGGATACAGATCAGTAGATGGATAAGGATTAAATATTTCGTGGTTATCAATTGAAAAATCTATATAAATCTCCTTCCTTGATGAAAAGGGGATTTGATTCCTTTGGATTGAGAGAATTGAATCAGCGTGATAGTATGAGAAAGAGATAGAGAGTGATTGTATCGCTAGAATCAGTCCCTTCTATGACTGTTTCCATATCCATATCTGATATAGATAGAGCGATATTATAGTTTTCCAAGCCACTTGAAGCCCAATCTCGAAGAAGAATAGATCATATCATAGTACCCTTGCATTGAAGATCAGGTATATGTGCCCATATGCCCATGGTATTGTTTATATTTATGTATGGCTGCATATTTTCTTTCTTACAATTTTCAAGGCCCGAATTAAGGGTATTTGGCCTATGTCAGGTTGATGTAAATTGTAATAGAGGACTAAACCTCTGGAACTTGTCCTTTTCCAATATGTGATATATAACGACCCTGTGTTTCTGTAATATGGAAATACATAGGCGAATTTGGCTCCAAATGTGTTATTCTCTGGTTGTTCCCTTGGAGTCTTGTATTTATTTAAAACCTTGTTTTTAGTTCATTAAATTTGGCAATGCATTTTTGGAGTATCCACCCATATATATTGATTAGAATATACACATTCCATGTTAACCTAATGTACAGTATATAATTTCTTTTCACATGTTGCTCCCTCATGGACGGCGCAAGAGGGTAGCATGACAGCATGGAGGTCTAAAAATAAGGGATTATCTACAAATAGACCATATATCTTTTGCACATGATGGTCTCTTTGTAGACAATCCCTAAAAACAATGTCCAAGTAGGAAGCTGTTAGAATGCAAAGGGTTGCTTCCATAATTAAGCGTGCCGTGAATGATTTTATTATTAATTATGGGAAAGTTTTCACTAATTTTCTTTGTTGCAACAACTCCCTATATCCTTTATGAATTGGGCCTAAGCATGAGAGTTTAGCGGTTGATGCTTGCGGTATTACTTCTCAAGTTCAGTTCCTACTGCTCTCAGCTTCTCACAACAACACTTATGTGACCCCACTTCTTAGATCGAGCGGCTACTATTGTTCATACCACAATGTATTCTGGTAATTTTTTATCATCAGAAATAGAATTTTATTATTTTTTATCATGTGCCCATGTAAAATCTATGCATGCCTCTAATTTTGCTTCAAAATTATTTTTAGAATAAAACTAAAAACTAAAAAATATGAACCGCCTGATCAAAATCTGACGGTTAAGAGTTAGCTTGAGACATTGTCACTGAAGTTATCTCAACTATGTACTCTGAGCTAATTGTTTAGACTTGGGGTCACATATAATATACATATATATAGATGGGTCACATAGAAAATCCCTTTATTTTATAACCCTTGAAAAGAGGATATTTTGACCCCCGGCTACTAAGAAAGGGTAATTCCAGTACTTACCAAATGTGGTCGAGAAATGGGAGGGGTCCGGTCTGCCGTACAACGCCGACATCCCGTCTTGGGGGCTTGGACGGCAACTGCATCCTCCGTTGCTTCTCGCATCAGAATTCTCAGGACGCAGCCACCCCTGTAGCGACATGCGTCTCGCCAGCTGGGTGGGCCCGCCTACCACCTTATGTCACTATATTAGCGGGGCCCATTCGCGAAAGTTCCACGTCTCCCCACCATCCCTCCCTACGGCATCATACCGGGGCCCACTTCTTCTGACGTGGGCTCACTTGTGCTGCCGTGGGGCGTTTGCAGGACGCCATTGCCCCGGTTGGGGTCCCACCCCCTACTACAGCGTATCAAAGTGCTCAGAAAACAAAATAAGAAGATCGAAGAGAATCGGACGGCCTACGCAACACCAGCTTTCATGTCAACGGTGGAGGTCATCCCACCGCAGATTTTAGTGTACATGATCGGGCCGTGGATTCGGGTGCAGTGGTGCCTGCGCCTTTAACGTGGCAGGAGTCCTTCACACATGTGAGAACCCTTGAGTCGGGGTGTATAAATTATCGACTAAGCTTTGCTAAATTTAGAAAGAGAAAAAGAGAGGGTTCTAAATTTAGAGAGAGAGAGAAAGAAAGGGTTCATAGACTGTGGGTTCAGTGCACTTGTTCGCTTTTAACCTGTAACGTTCATCTCTCAATTCAAAATTAGGTTTTCCTCTTCTAAAATTAGGGTTCCCGTTCTTATCCTCATTAATTTAGCCTAGCTTTTAGCTGTCTATATAAACCCCTGCTTCTCTCCATATCTTTCAGCTCCCCTGCAGAAAAGAGATGTCATTTGTGATGGGGTGGAGTTTGTATTGCTTCGCTGCTGCTTTATCAGCGCTCTTGTTTGGGTTCTTAGTGAAAAACAGAGGAAGAACATTCAAATCCACAACCAAGCTCCCTCCTGGCACAATGGGTTGGCCATTTCTCGGAGAGACACTGCAACTATACTCTCACGACCCTAACATTTTCTTTGCAGCCAAACAGAAAAGGTGTCTCTCTGTTTCTTTTGAATTGCATTTTATAACTTGTTAAGAATTAGGTGGTAACTAATTGGTGAATGGTTTTCAGATATGGGGAGATATTCAAGACCCACTTGTTGGGGTGCCCTTGTATAATGCTGGCTAGCCCGGAAGCGGCGAGGTTTGTTTTGATGAACCAGGCCCACCTGTTCAAACCCACATACCCTAAAAGCAAGGAGCTGATGATCGGCCCCAATGCTATCTTCTTCCATCAGGGTGACTACCATGCCCGCCTTCGTAAGCTTGTGCAGGGTGCTCTTTCTCCAGAAGTCATCCGCTCGATTGTCCCTGACATCGAAGCCATAGCTCTGCCCTTGCTCGACTCATGGGATGGACGAGTTATTAACACATTCTTAGAGATGAAAAAGGTTCTGCATATTCAACAGGATTTAAAAAAAAAAAGAAAAAAAAGGAAATAACCATTTGTGTTGCATTCTTTCTTTACAATATGATGCTCAACTCAACATTTGTGATTGGGTTTGCACTTTGCAGTATACTTTTGACGTGGGGATCCTTTCCATATTCGGGAGTTTAGATTTGCATTATAAAGAGGAGCTCAAGAAGAATTACTGTGTGGTAGACCAGGGCTACAATTCTTTTCCCAACAAGATCCCAGGCACCCTCTACAGAAACGCAGTTCAGGTGGGGAGAGCAGCCACCATTGCTTTGACCTCGAGCTTTTTAATTGAGCCTCCAGTCCTCTCCTTTTCTTTGCTTTGGCCTAACCTGAACTCATTCATTCTACTCTGCTGTGAAGGCGAGGAAGGAGCTGAGTAAGATACTGGGTACGATTATCTCAGAGAGGAGAGAGAAGGCAATGGAAAAGAAGAAATTATTGGGAAGCTTGTTGCTGAGCAGGGACGGAAACGGCGAGCCGCTTAGCGACGAGCAGATATCAGATAACATCATTGGAGTTCTCTTTGCTGCACAGGACACAACAGCGAGTGTGCTCACTTGGGTACTAAAGTACTTAGTGGATAACCCCAAGCTCCTCGAAGCTGTTAGGGTATGCAAAACACACAACATATTCATGGCAACATTTGAGTTTCAGAACTGAATTTGGTTTGAAAAAATTTAAACACGAAAACAATGCATCATACATACACCTTACGAATTGCCTGTGAATTTGGGTGTAGGCTGAGCATGTGGCCATTCAAGAAGCAAATGAGAATGCGAGGAATTCTGTAACATGGGCACAGACCAGAAACGCGATGCCATTAACGTCTAAGGTAAGCTATATTGCTGCGAAAACACGACCCGAGAATGGGCATGCATTTAGCACTTTAATTTGGAGGAAGAGATTGAGGTTTGTGGTGATGAAAAGCAGGTTATTTCGGAGACACTGAGAATGGCGAGCATCCTCTCCTTTACGTTTAGGGAAGCAATTGCAGACGTTGAATACAAAGGTAAGTAGATGCGTGTCGCGTGTTCATATCTCACACCATTATTTCCCTCTCTCTTCTCTGTCTCTCTTTCTCTCTCTCCTATCTCTTACGTGTTAAGGGCTCTTCCTTTATTCTCCAATTTGGTATTTTTTTTTTTTTTTTTTTTTAAGCAATGGGGAGAAAAGGCCTCCTACTCAATTTTTCATTGTTAAAATTTTAAAAGAATCAGCTCATTATTTTAGAACCCTAGAGCCGTTGTGTGCTAAATCTAAATCATAAAGTTAAAAAATAATTTCCGGCGATCAAAAGCACCAAATAATAATTTCAGAGCTAAAAATAAGTTTGGGTACCTAGAGCTAAAAGAAGTTTTGGATCGGTAACTAATAAAATGGGTGGTGGTGGAGCAGGGTACCTGATTCCGAAAGGATGGAAAGTAATGCCACTGTTTAGGAACATCCACCACAATCCGGATTTCTTTCCTGATCCCCACAGATTCGATCCGTCCAGATTCCAGGTCAGTAAACCTTATCTACGCTATCATCTTTTCGTTTGACTTAAGGATTAGAAATGAGAAATGGAGCAAGGGCCTTAATCCTACGTGTTCAAAGCAGGTGCCGCCAAAGCTAAATACGTTTCTGCCATTTGGAACTGGAGCCCATGCTTGCCCAGGGAACGAGCTTGCGAAGCTCGAGATGCTTATTCTACTCCACCACCTTGTCACCAACTTCGGGTTTGATTTTTTTATTTATATAAATGAGTAAATTTTTTTTAGAAGTTTTTGAGTAAAAAAAATTAACCCAAAATTATAAGTACTTCCCTAAAATGAGCTTGGTAGACATTCTATCTTTTAGTAGTTTTAGTATCGCACCCATAACCTACTCAATATTTTTTACCTAATTAAAAAAGTATATATTTTAAAGACTAAACTACCCCAATCAAATCTTCCTTCTTTCTCTCCCCACCCTCCCTGTCTCTCTTTTTCTCTCTACCCCCTCTCTCTTTCTCTCTAGGGTAAAAGCAAGAAAGAAGAGTGAAGTGGGTAATGGGGTGTGAAACCAAAAATAGTGGGAATAGAATATCTACAAAGTTCATTTTATAGGTATCATAATTTTCCCTAAAACCTAGTTGTTGTGACCTTAATGTCGAAGATTGAAACAATCTCACCTACCCCTAAAGCCAAAATATAACCCCTAAAGCCAAAATATAACTTGATTGTCCTTTGGGGGAGTGATATTAATGTTAATGTTTGATTCTTTTTCTTAATTATAGAAAGAAATTCCTAGAATTTGGACATTATTGTTCATCTTTCAAAAATGGACATTTTTGTTATCTTTCTATCTTGTCCTTAGACAAAGAAATCTCTAGACCAGTGACCATTCTCGCCATTTCCCCCCTCTCTCTCCATCTATTTCTAAAACCTATAGTTGATTCATATGACCATGTAAAATCTATGGTCATAAATGTCAATCACCGTTTCATCATAAACAGAAGTCTTGAGAGGTAACTCAATGTTATGTGGGTCCAATTCTCCATCTTCATCTTTGTATCCATTAACCCAAGGGTGGTGGCACTTGTGACCAAAGATTTTCAACGGTCAGATGGATCACAATATAATTTCCCATTGAATTTTGCCTCCAAAATTTGGTGGTAATGTTTGAATAGCCTGGTGTGTAGGAAAAGATCCTGAGTGGGCCAGGTCTCTAACAAGGCAGAATCATTTTATTTGTGCAGGTGGGAGGTGGTGGGGCCTAGACATGGAATTCAATACTGCCCCTTTCCCATCCCTAAAGATGGGCTGCTCGCCAGATTTCATAAAGACCCAGCAATTCAGGACCATAAAAATTCCAATCAATAAAAAGAGAAAATTTTCCTATTATTAACAAACTGTAGGGAGATTGGATTTTGAGGGAGAAAGGGCAAAAGTTGACCCACATCATGGTTAATTTCAGGATCAACCTCAGAGAAAACCCCCTTATTTTCACCATGTAACAACACATTGCAATACAGGAGAATGATATCATAGTTCTTGACTCTCTCACAAAGAGGGAGAGGGTTCTGTTTTCATCCTGTTCCTGTATTGCTGCAATTGTTATTCTAGAATATAATATAATCCCTTTTCTTGCTAATATTTATCCTCTGTTTCACATTTTCAGTTTTTACTAGTGAGAAACAATGTGACCATGGAAGTTTTGATTTAGAGAAAATTACATACCGACCTGAAAAAAGATCCGAAAATATGGTATGCTCCGTACATATCGGAAATTACAACCAAGGTTCGTCAACACTAAGTTTTTTTTAGTGCCCGAATGTTTGGGGGCACTTCTCAATCTGTCCGAGGTACGAATCCTTGAACTTCTCCCTCTTTCTTTGGTAGAAAACAACAACGGTCCAAAAACGGGAATCTCGAACCGCCCTATGAACTAATTAGAGCTCAGTTTTGGGATGATCTGAGGTTCACATCGTCAAACCACTTGTTATTTATGAAAAAAAATTTACGGTATGAGAATTGTAACCTTGTACCACTTGTTACCTTTTAAAAAACCTCAGTAAAAGAATCTTGGACCACTTGTTACTCTTTAAAAACCTTCAGTAAGAGAATTGGAACCTTGGACCACTATCTGGAATGAGCATTGCTCATGTCTAGTTTGGTCTGAGCTCTCTATCCTCGGACCGCCATGCGATCACTTTAAAAGCGGCAAACCTTTTTTGTCTTTTTGTGCTCTCTCTCTCTATTTAGCACTTATCTCTCCCCCCACTCTCTCTCTCTCTAAACCGTCGAGTAGCTAAACATCAACAGGTGGATTTTCGGCATCGTTATCGTAATTTCAGGTAGATTCCAAGAATCAAGTTAGTTTAAGAAAATAAAATCAAAATAAAACACAATAAAATTTAGCATTTTCATTCTAATTTGACCCTAACTCATGATATTAGAAGATTTTCAATAAATTTGTAGGTGCTATTACAAATTGAGCAATGCACATTCTACAAAGGAGTTATAGAATAATTAAGGCCCAATTTGGATGTCAAACAAAAAAATATTCCCAGCGAAAAAAAATGGAAGTTTTTCGACCTCAATTGGAAAACATTCTTATCTTATTTTATTATGTTGGTAAACTGTTTGGATGTCTAATTTCATTGATTTGTCAAAAAAACCCTCGACCAAATCTCGCCATTTTCAGGCCAAAAATCGCTGGAATTCAGCGATCATGAGAGAAAAACCTTTCAACAACCTGGTCCATCTTCTCTTAAGGCAAATTCTGCAAACTTGCGCTAACCTTCTATTTCTCCTCAAAACTCATCTCTCTTTTATTTGGGTCTCTTGCGTTAGACTTGGGCTGCTTTTCAAGCTGAACAAGTCTTGTCCCAACTAGGTTTCCCCCTACTTTGGTCTTTCACACTAGTGGGTAGCATCCATGGATCCGGCTTCTTTGCGCTTTAGGGTTTGCCTTTTCTCTACGGCATTTCAATTTCTGGCGAAGCTGCTGGTTTTTGTACTGGAAACTTACCAGAAAAGGAATTCCAGTGAGCCTCCTCAACAACCCTTCGCCTCTCCTCCTCATACCTATTAAAAGCAGGGTTCCACATCTCTTCGAAAAAACCTAGAAGCCGCTCAACCATTATGTTTACATCATGGGCCTTGGGGTTATATTTTAGGGCATTGTGGAAGGTGAGCCTCACATCAGCTGCAAATTCAAGTTTGGTTGAATAAAAGCTCTGGTTTAACCTAGATTTCGCATTGCCAAGATCCATGGGGTTCTTGACTAGGGTATAGTAATCATGTAACCCCATTCCCACTACATCAACAGGGACATTGAAGACCCATCCATGCTTATGCTTCATGAGCTTGGTCAAGATTTGGCTGCACGTCTTCATGAAATCTGAGATCAAAAGAAATTGCCGTTCTTTTACCAGATTCAGGAACCTTTGTTACTGGATTTGGCCTCTTGGATCCACCAAAAACCTTCTTATTCTCTTGTGCGGGCATCATCTCTTTCCCCATAACAAACTCAGAGGCTCTATACTACTGGTTTGCTTTAGGGGTTCTCTTCTCTTTAGGGCAATAGCCCTTAAATCTAAGGTTTGGAGGTTCAATGGAGGTGGGCGACCAGAACCAGGGGTCTGTCGTTCCCATCTAGAGAGCAGGGTTACAGGGAGGGGAAGGAGAGAGAAAGGGTGGGAGTCTCCATGCACAAGCCGCACTTCCATCCGAAACAATTCAAATCTGGTTTTATACAACTTTTGTTTTGATACTGGAGACTTTTTTTATTTCAATCTAAAAGTTTAATAAAATCTTGTGGTTGTCCAAACACCTCAAATCAATTACACAAGTTTTTTGAATTGCAATCCAAAAATATTATAATTTTGGGTACATCCAAATTGCTCCTAAATTATAAAAATTAATTACATGTATAAATTAAAGCATAACACACAAACTAATTATTTTGCAGTAGATTCAAAACAAAAACAAAAAAAGAATCCTCATATGTCAAAAGAAGATATTCATGAATTTGTTGATTTCTCCTAATACTTTTTTTGATAACCGTTTGTTTTATCAGGTGATATTATTGATTCTAGAAACCCTAATTATCTCCTTTCAATTGCAACCTAAAACATAGCAATCCAACTTCCCTTTCAAAAAGCCTTAACGGTAGATCTAACAATCCAAATTTCAAAACACAATAAAAGAGAAATAAATAAAAACTCAAAACTTACCTGATTTTTGGAATCACATTAGAATTGTGGTAATGTGGCCGGAGATCCTCTCGTTGAATCTTGGGTCAGTTGACGGTCAAGAGACAAATAGAACAAAAAGAAAATAGGATTTTCAGGTTTAAATGGGATCAGATAGTGGTCCAATGTTCAAATGTTCGGACCAACTTTTTTGCATATAATCACAAGCAATCCGAGGTTGAAGTTCTCAGACCGCAATTTTTTAAAAACTTAAGTTACGGTCCAAGGCTTTGGACCTCGCACTGCCTTGAACATTTAACTATGGTATGTTCAGGGACGGTCCGTGGATTCGAACATTGGAACGCTCAAGAAAGAAGGACAGGTCCAAGGATTCGAACCTCGAACTGCTTGCGAAGTAGCCCCAAACTTTTGGGCACAGCCTACTAATGAAAATTAAAATAAAAAGAAAATAAAGAAAAAACAGAAAATTATAATGCGATCGTTGCGGTAATTTTGTCAAAAAAAAGAAAAGAAAAAGTCACATTGATTGTAATTTTTGGTGGTTCAAGTTCGATTGGGCTCGAGGTCTTGACGTAGTTTTGTCGAACTTTGTGATGTTTTATATTTACTAATTGTCAAGCTTCTTGTACAGAGGGCCGGGTTTCAATGCCTTTGGCGATGCACTTTTTTAAGTGCATTTCTCTTCCAAATTCCATTTTAGATATTGATTTTAGTAATAATTTTACCACGGCGATCAATTTTTAAATTTAAAACTAGCACATCTGAATTCTTTTTTGCACTGTTCATCTTACTTCTTCATAGATCCGCATCATTTTACCATTTCCAGAGCTGCAAAAGGATGAATCCATGCAAGAATTGTATTCCCCGTTATTTACGTCGTGTACTACGATTGTGCTCTAAAACCCAAATTCGTGAAAAGCTGACTCGTGTCATCCTAATGCATAAATTACATAAAGGAAGTGGTTTTTACGAGTCCTAGGACTCTTATGCAGGCATGCATCGCCTAGATCCGTTTTTCAGATGGATTTTTAACGAAGTGTACTATCTAATATGGAGACCATGAATTTGGGAAAATAAATAAATAAAAAGAAAGAAAACAAGTAAATTTTAAAACTAAAACTGATAATCTTTTTAAAAAGGTTTTAAGCACATGTATTTATCCTCTCTTGGAGATGCTACAATTCCACATTCATTTTTCAGATGCACTTGTAATTATATTGTGTTGGGAATCGAGATTATACTCTCTTTCGGTGAATCCCCTACGACATTAATACCTTGAAACTAACTCACATATTCCCAAAAAATTGTACATCCAAGGACCCTATATCATGTAATACATTTAAAAAAGAAGAAAGAGATGAAATTAGTAGAAGTAAAATGGGAAATCAAACGGCTTGCGCTTGATTGGTTAGTAGTAGACGTCAAGAAATTTGCTACCTCTCAAGTTGGATTTTTACCCATGAACAGCCAAATAAAATACCCATGAACAGCCAAATAAAATAAAATAAATAACCAATCACCATTAAGCACACAAGTACAAATGTTTCACCCTAAACCAGATTACAGAAAATGTTTTATTATCATAGAATAATTACAAGATTTGAGTAAATATATGGGCTACCTCGCAATCCGTAAAGCGTTATCTTATTTTCCTTTCCACTACTACAAAAGAACTATCAATTCAACCTTTATTGTCCACTCCAGGTCCATGGATCTACCTACAATTGAAAACACTGATGAAACTACCCCAAATACGACACAATGGTAGCTAATATGTTGCCGAAAATCCCCAAACTCTAACCAACATACTGGACCACATGCCCACGGCAATGTCTGTGCTCTCATGGAAGGTTTTGTACCCACGTGTCACAAGGGGAGTGAGTGAGACCGAAGCCTCATGGTGGAGGGCACCGTCCCCTACCTGACCAACTTTAGGTACTCTGCATCTCTCTCTCTCCAAGGCTTTATGAGAAAGCTTCTCTCTTAATTGTGACTTACCTTACATGATCATGTGAAATGGGATAGCAGAGCTGGGATCCTTGGGGCCACCCGTGTACGCCTTCACCTCCACCCCCATGTTGATGTGGAGGTACCTCTCTCTCTCTCTCTCCATGGTTTTTGTGCAAGGCAAAATCAGCTAACCATCCATCCCCATATTGACCTGCTGTTACCATTATTATTCCTATTTATAGATGTATTGAAATTATGGAAACCATGAATTCGTTTGGCCAAAGGAGTGTAAATGTTGGGCATTGGTATTGCATGCACATGGCGAACTCCTTTTGGGATCACTTTATAAAAGTTGCTTGCTTCATGGAAAAATAGGAATTTTACAATTGTGGTACGATCAATTGTATTATTGAATAATTGAAATTGGACATAATGCTTTTATTAAATTAAAATATTAGGAGTTTGGAAAAGTTGTGGATATTCTCCAAAATGAACTTTGTAGACATTCTATTCTCCAATATTTTTAGTATCAAACTCATGACCTGGTTAATATTTTTCTTGCTTTTATCTCTAGTCAAAAAGTCATTGTTTAAAGATAAAACTACCATTCACCTCCTTTACCCTACCCATGAAATCTCTTTTTCTCTCTCTACCGGGACAGGGAGAGAAGGTAGAGGGAGAGGCAAGTAGAGAGAGAAAGAGAGAGAGGGATGGTCAAGAGAGAGAGGACGGGTAGAGTGAGAAAGTGATGAAAATAAAATTAGAGTTTATTTATTTTTTATTTTTAATTAGGGATACGAAGAGATAAGTTGGTAGGATCTGAGTTGAGTGCATGATTTGTTTTGGAAAGGCATATCTTTGTAGTTTAGGACCTGTTTGGATAGGAAGAAATTAGGAATCTTAGATATTTGAAATCCATGGAAATCTATGGATTTTCAATATTAAGGATTTTTGTTATGGATTCTTCAAATCTCTTGTTTGGATAAACTATATACAAAATTCATGGATGATTTGCAATCACTTCTATGTCTATTGTTTAGTAACAAAACTTGATACAATTTCTCTCACTAAAATTTTTATATACTTTCTCTCTCTGAAACTCACAATTTTATATAGTGTATCTATAAAAATTTTGAGATAGTTTCTCCCTCTAAAATTTGATATGGTTTGTCTCTCTAAAATTTAATATACTTTTTATCCAAAATTTAAAATTTGAAATTGTCTATCTAAAATTTTTGAGATAATTTATCTCTCTAAAATTTTAGGTGCTTTATACTATCTAAAATTTAATATATTTTCTCTTTCTAAAATTTTAAGATACTCTTTCTCTAAAACTTAAAACTTGAGATAGTTTCCCTTTTCAATAATTTTGAGATAGTTTCGCTCTCTAAATATTTTTAAGTAGTTTCTCTCTCTAAAATATGATATAACTTTTCTTTCAAATTTTAAGATACTTTCTCCGTCTAAAAGCTAAAATTTGAGATAATTTATCTCTAAAATTTTTGCAATAGTTTTTTTTTCGAAAACGTTTTGTGTACTTTCTCTCTCTAAAATTTGATATAGTTACTTTCTTAAATTTTAAGATGCTTTCTCTCTCTAAAACTTTCAAGTTTGAGATAGTTTCTCTCTCTAAAATTTTGAAATCGTTTCTTTATTTAAAATTTGATATAGTGTCTCTCTAAACTTTGATATACTCTCTCTCTGTAAAGTTTAGAATTTAAGATACTTTATCTCTCTAAAACTTAAATTTTGAGATAGTTTCTCTCGTTAAATTTTTTTGAAATAGTTTCTCGCTCTAAAACTTTTATGTACTTTCTCTATTTAAAATTTGATATAGTTTATCTCTTGAAAATTTTAATATACTTTTTCTCTCTAAAACATAAATTTTGCGATAGTTTCTCTTCAAAAAATTTGAAATAGTTTCTCTCTCTAAAAATTTTAGGTGGTTTCTCTCTCTAAAATTTTCTATAATTTCTACTTATAAAAGTTTAATATATTTTCTCCTTCTAAAATTCAAAATTTGAGATATTTTCTTTCTAAACCACAAAATTCGAGATAGTTTCTCTCTCTAAAAACCGAGATATTTCTCTCCCTAAATTTTGTTTTTATCGTTTCTCTTTCTAAAATTTATAATAGTTTCCCTCTAAAAGTTTAAGAATACTTTCTTTCTCTACAATTTTAAGAATACTTTCTCTCTCTAAAACTTAAGATTTGATATACTCTCTCTAAATTTTTTGAGAGTTTCTATTTCTAAAAGTTTTTAGGTACTCTCTAAAAATTTGATATGGTTTCTCTCTCTAAAAATTAAAATATGAGATCTTTTCTCTCTTCAAAATTTTTGAAATAGTTTCTCTCTAAAAAAAAGATAGTTTCTCTCTCTAAAAATTTACATGTACTTTCTCTCTCTGAAATATGGCAGTTTATCTCTAAAACTTAAAATTTGAGATAGTTTCACTCTCTAAAATTTTGAGATAGTTTATCTCTAAAATTTTGAGATAGTTTATCTCTCTAAAAAAATTTGGTACTTTCTCTCTTTAAAATTTGAACCGACTTTCTCTTTCTAAAATTTTAACATACTTTCTCTCTCTAAAAGTTAAAATTTGAGA